AACATAAGATGAAAAGCAGCTGTGAAGGAAGTTCCCAGCTTTATCTCAAAGTGGGGGGCCATTTGAGTCCTATCATGTCTCTTTACAACCTACTACTTAAATGTACTTTATGCAGAATAACAGAAACTTCTCTACCCTTCTTCGATTGTAGTTTAAGCATTGTTAATGATAATTACTGTGAGAAATTTGGTTTCTCAATGTTCCTCCTATCTAGTATTAGTTATTTGTAAAGGAGTCCAGTTTTAAGAAATTATTAAATTATTTTATGGCATATGCGGTTTTACTGTTTGCAAAGTTTTTGACCTACTCACTCAGTTCTGTCTGTAGGCCCACCAAGATGGGTTCCTACCTTGATTCACACTTAGAGAACTTATTCTTGCCTTTCCCATCATGTCTCTCCCCACTGAGCAAGGCAGCCAACAGAATCTCTCCTAAACTATACTATTGTATACTGATTTCCCCTGCTAATGTCTTGCGCCCACTTCTTCCCGTCCATCCTCCTCAGGGAGAAACATGACACCGGTGTGCTTACTGTAGGCCCGAGATGTGACCAAACCAAAGTTGTTTGCAGGGTTGTGTATTGAACTTGAATGTACAGGATGGGGTGTTCATGCTCATGTTGAGACCACTTGCAGTGTATAACTGAATAAAAGCTGAGGAGAGGCTCAGCGCCCATAGCTCAGTGAGTAGGGTGCCAGCCACATACACTGAAGGTGGCGAATTCAAGCCCAGCCCCAACCTGCTAAATAAGGACAACTACAACCAAAAAAGAAAAGAAAATAGCCAGATGTTGTGGTGGGTGCCTGTAGTTCCAGCTACTTGGGAGGCTGAGGCAAGAGAATCACTTAAGCCTAAGAGTTGGAGGTTGCTGTGAGCTGTGTCTCTTAAGCCTAAGAGTTGGAGGTTGCTGTGAGCTGTGTCTGTGAGCTGTCTACTGAGACTCTGTCTCAAAAAAAAAAAGCTGAGGGGAAAAGAGGGGTGGCCACAAGCTGGGAGCTAACATTGCCCTACTCTGGCATCCTCACACTAAATTCCAGCAGGGTGAGAATTCTAAACTCACTATGGGCCTTCCCATTTTTAGGAAGGAGGGAGCATACTTAATTGTACATATTTAGATATCTGGTAAGTGGGACTTCCTTTGTACTTTTGCCACAATCTTCACAAGTTTTAAGACTTATTCTAAATTCATTATATATAAAATATTGTACTCTGAAATTTTTGGTATCGATTCCCGCCCTGCAGCAAGATGACATAGCAAGAGATTCCAGATCAGAAAGCACTTGGGCAATGGACAGACCAGACATACATCATCCTCGGTGCTAAATGGCCTTTCCTTTAAGCTACAGACAGAAGAGACAAGGTAGAAGGAAGGTCAATCATCATTAATAGGCTTGTTAGGAGAGAAGTCATACTTCCTCAGGGTCCAAATTCCTTCTTAACCATTAGTGCTATCCCCACTACTTGCCTCTAATCTAGACCAAAGTGATCTGCTCTGCTGTAAGGGATATGGGATCAGATCACTTTCCTAATGACTGGCATGAATGACCACGTGTCAGCTCTCTCTTCATCTGGTCAGCCAACTGTCACTGTGACACCTCCAGGTGCATGATGGACACAGGGAGGTTTCACAGCTACTTGTTTCAATTTCAGTTCGTCATGTGGAAGGAAATTGCTGTTTACATTTAAAGATGTAAATTTTATTTATTTTTATTTCATTTTACTCTTTTCTCAGTTTTTGATTTGGCTCCCATAACAAAAAGTCTTCCTATTCTATTAGTCCTACTCACTTGAGATAGCTAAGTGCTTAAGGCCAAGGGTGCTTAGCACTTTGGAGTGACCGAGAGCCCTAAAGCTCAGTCTTGCTGCTCATCTACTTCTCTTGCTGGCAATTCTCCATTTCACATGACCTGTTATCAGAGGCAAATTGACCCTTAGGAAGGCATAAGACCCCCCGCCTTTTTTTTGAGGGGTGAAATATTGCTACATAACCAATGGCTTTCAGATAACCTATCATCAGGAAGGAAAGAGCAGATTGAGACAGAAAAATGAGAACCTGGAGTTATGTTTCTTACTATTTAAATGGTGTACATTTTCTAAAGTCACTTTTATCTCTTTTGAACCTTTGAGCCAATGAGTCACAATAGAGTTCAAATGTAACTGAATGCACTCATCTCAGTCACGGGCAGCCTCCTTGAGGGTGAATGATCAAGGAGAGAATTGGAGATGTTTCACCTTGGGAAAATAGGTTTTCTGAGCATTCACATTTATTTAGGTATCCCAAAATAGCTCAAATTGGGAGCATGTCCAATTAATTGTGGTCACTGACCTCTGAATACTTATGGAATGACAATAAAATACTATATACTTTAACCTCAAGCATTTCCTCTTGTGTTAATTAATTTTATATAGAAAAAAATCATATACTCACTGAGGTTGTGGTTGTCCTTTTTTTGTCTCTCTTTTGCCAAAGCTCTAGTGTCGGTTTCTAATCAAAAGAAAAATAATTCAAGCACGGCTTAGTTCTACCTTAAAACCTCTCTAGGCAACATCATTCAGAACGCTAGGTTAAAATATAATATTTCTTGATTCAAAATAACACAATAATGTTTTTCATGTAAATATTCTAGGATTTGGAACAGAGTACCCGTCAGTAAGAGGCAATGGCAATACTTTTAGGCTCTGAGATAGGAAAACCTGGATTTGCATTCTAGCCCCCTATTTAA